CACCATTTGCCTGAATCTTTTTCACAATTTTCACTATACCAAAAACTATCCCCCCAACAACGGCCGTTCCCCCAACTCCAACTCCAACGCCTATGCCTATTTTTGCATTGTTAGATAAACCTACAAAAATATAAAATGCACAACAATTTAATTAAGTTCAATGTCGATGTGGATACATAGTTCATCCCACAGATTTACAAAAGTTCAGTTAATGTAACAGTTTCTACTAATTTTATTTCATACCATGGTTTTAGCTCCGACACTTTATAATTATAATAACCTGAACGTAACCTATGGCGTGCACGTCAAGGTTGTCGTTCTCCGTATATTTTCAATACAAGCGTACGCGTACCCCGCATCACACAAACATGTGAAATATACAGATCACTCATAAATGTATCTAATTCGGTGGTCGATTTCAGCGTAAATGAACTTTCTACACAATATACACTCACCACTAGTGCAAGAATAAACTGTTTCTTTCGATGTTAACCAACCAAAGTCATTCGTTGCATTGCAAGTTACTGTCGTTTCTTCTTTATGCTGTAGTTGTAGTTCATTAGTTGTTATTTCAGCATCGTAGCTCCATATACAATGTGCTGGTGGGTTGGAGTTAATTTCAGCTGTTATCAACACTGGACAATTTGTTAACTGAAATGTTATATCAGTAGGCCCATCTGATAAACAAAAAATAAGCGTCATCGTCAACTACACTCTTGTAACTTTCGATCAAACACGTTTATTTTTTTCAATTTCGTTTGTGGTGATATGTGTTATTTCGATTTTAATTCATAATATATTCGAGGCACTAAACTTGACCACTCATTGAATCCGCCGTCGAATTATTACTATCGTAAATCGGCGGAAAATACAAAAACGAAACATAAATAACACTATCATGTGCACCATTTCAATCGTCAATTTTATAGGCGTTTTAGAAGAGTTGGCTATACAGTCATAGGCTTGCTTGCATTCTGTTGCGATTCCGATGAACAACTCTTGAAAATAAATATAAATTTCGTAAACGAGGGGTGAACGCGAAAGTCATGTGACCGCGAAATCCCAACAGACTTGCCATCACTGTAAGCTCCATCACATTATTACCGGCCAGATTCGGGCTTGTAAATTTTCATATACGTCAATACGGTAGGTGGAGCAGCCGAGTCACGGATCATAACAATAAACCGGACATCGCACGTGCCTGTGTTTACTTGTCTTGCGCTATGTTACCATGTTGTTGATGCCATGGAGGTAAAAAGAGATGTTGACGCCAACAAAATTGAGTAAAACAACCATCGTTTCTCCGAGAATGCACGAAATTATTTGTATTGTGTGCGGTCTTGACATCGTAAATGGCAGACGACAGGCGAAAATTCTTTAAACTCACCACATCGCCTGTAGTCGATACAAAACGGATCCATTTTGAAAGTCAGTGATTTTCCACTGCCTGTAGGCGCAGACACGAAAACGTCTAGGCCATCTGAGTAGGCCCCACGACCTCTCGCTGATATCGACAAAGGCTTTAGTATCCTTATACTTCCAAGGCTCGCTCCAAACATTCTCCTGATAATATTGCACGTGTTTTTTTAAAAATTCAATCTAAAATAAAATGCATATGCGATTCGGATATGAGAAAGTAGGTAAAGTTTTCAGGATCTAAGTTTATCCATAGAGGTATGGTTTCCGGAGTCTCGGTTAATCAGCTAATTAGCATATCTTCTGATTGGTTGAAACATATTTTACATGTCAATCATTATAAGCCCGAATCTGGCCGGTAATGTGAGGGCGCTTACACTGTTGGAATTTCGCAGTGACATGGCTTTCGCGTTCACCCCTCGTTTACGCAATTTGTATTTATTTTTCATGAATTCTTCATCGAAATCGTAACAGACTGCAAGCAAGTATAATACAGTCCCTGCAATCATATTTGCTGAAGTGGTTTTACTATCCATGTCTTTATTGTGAAGAAAGGTCTAGTATAAATATGTGCCTAGATATAATGAAATAAATTCGCGATATTGGTGCGTATACATCAAATTTTCACAACCTCATTCATTATAATAGGTTTCACAATTTTTTGGTATAACAAAATAAAGCACTTACACGTTACGTTTAGTGTTTTAAATGAACTTTCATATTCTCCAGTTATGAAGTTTCCTCCCCTACATTCTAGTTGTTTGTTATTATCCTCGGCAGTTACCATTAAAGATAAATTGCTCACTACATTGAAACTTGTGTCAAGATTCCCATCAGGCTGGACGGTGAAATTGTTTTCGTCAATAACCTCATTATTGAGAAGCCATGAAAGTTCGGGTTGTGGCCTTACATTTTCTATAGAGCAGGAAACTGTCAATGTCGTTTTCTCATTAATAGTAATATAATCTTCGGTAGCTTGTATCGCAATATTCGACTCTGATACAGGAACTGTGAAGGATGAACACACAATCGTCAAGATATTCATTATTGTCAATGTATATGAAGTGTCGTGCAAATGACGTTTTTTTTCTGTTTGTGCCTCCTGTGGTTTTTTCATCATCATGTTTCAAATGTGTGCGTGTTTTTTTCACAAATTGCCAAAAACATACACATAAAACAGTTACAGTATACAGCAATTATGTGGTATTACCCAGAGTATCTACATTATACTTTATTGAGAGGCTAGAATTACAAATTTGTAATTACAGTAATACAGGAGAGACGTTAAATGAGGTACGCATCTGTCAATAGTCCAGCTGTTTAGTCTGAATGCAATACTTTATATCATAAGTAGTGATTGGCAGCATTTGCATCTGAATCCGTATTCAATGCAATGAATTTTGATTCAAAACAAACTATAAAAAATAGGATATTCAAATTTACAATATATATTAATATCACAAAACATTTTGCAATTCGGTTTGAAGCTGTATGGACGGCCGATATATTTGATCACTATCATATAAAGGAGCTAACATTTTCGCAATTTATGTGGCTTCAATTTACATTCCAAAATAGTTTTAAACGAACAATGTGTTACAGCAATGAGATGATGTAAAAGTCACTTCTTGATTTGCATGAAACACAATAAATGAAGCAAATATTGTACATATGTTAAAACATATACTGAATTATCAAAATATGAACTGTCAAATGATTGAGTTATGTAAATAATGACCATCTAACAAGACCCTAGTATGTTAATGTATCCCTGTGACGTAGCAGATGTTGTTGATGCACATATGTTGAAACGCAGAATCAAACAATTAGCAAAATGTAGTTACCAGTGGTAAATGAAAGTTAACCGAAATACAACAAGAAAGAAAGCATTATGCAATTCCTTATTTGTAATATAAGACATAAATAAATCAACAAACTCCTTCGATTTTCAACTGTGAGATAACCTGTACACATTCATAAATAACTCTGTGAACTTAAATTCCATTAATGACGATTTGACAAAGGTTTCTGACTGGTGCAAAGCAAATAAACTTACGATGATCATCGCGATAAAAAACATTATATGACCTTTAAAACTCTTCCAAAACAAATTATTACACAAAGAAGCCTGCGAATAGACAGTTTGACTTTTAAGGTCGCTTGTGCGGTAACGTACCTTGGTGTGACAATTGGTTCGCCCTTGACTTTGTAATCACACATAGAAAAAATAAAACTATTTTCCCTAAAGTTGGTATAATTTCGCGCATCCATCAATACTGGACAATACATTATTACTACTTCACCTCACATATTGTGTTTTGACATTTAATTTTGATTGTTACGCAATATTCAATAATTCATCAGGATAATAATTAAGAGAATATTAAAGGCAACAGAACAACTAGAATATCAAACCTGTTCCAAAACTGTTGGACGCTTGGTATAAGTTCCTTGAACCAGAATTGGTGGATGAAACAATTGGTTGAAAAAATCCCTCATTTGCATGATAATATTCGTTAGAAATGGTAAATTCCTTTTTTTCTAAATTGACTGATTTTATCGGTAGAGCTTCAAAAAAATTGAACAATTGCTGCAACAGTGTTTTTGAAGACTGTAACCCCAGGTTGTCTGTAATATAATCCTAGAAATTTAGGAAATATAGAAGAGTATTTGGGTACTTGATATTTCTCCCGAAATGCTTTAATAATTTGTACCTAATTAGTAGGCACTGTGTGTGTACATGCGCAGTTTTAAATGAAACAAAATTTAACGCAATACAATCATGTGTAGAACTCTTTCCTGCAAGAAACTTGTCGGTTGATTTGTTTTAAAATAGCATTTTTTGTACAGAAATCGCTAAAATAATATCTAACCGTAAAAAGAACGTTGTTTTTGCGTTGACGTGTATGTTCTGCCCAGATCAGAAACCGCATCCCTGTCCACCTCCCGCCTTAAACATAAGTTGCCAGTTTATCGCTTATTTTTGGAACTATCAACGCATAGGCATAGGCACAATTACAAAATTTTTGCTCAGTTCTATCAGTGGGCTCCATGCATAACACCAGTAACTCGGCAAGTGCCGTTGACACGGTAAGGTCGGTAGACTTGCCCCCATCACCACCACTACAAACCTTTAACTGTTATACGAGCATCTACATAACCTGGATCTGGCGACCCGAAGAGATAACAACCCCATATTCCATTGTCGTCATCTAAGATACCAATTATCTGCAAGTTAAATTCTCCATCGGAAGCAAGGCCAGTTATTTTATACCTCGTAGAGTCTATTGTGTCCCTTAGAGTAGATACAATAACGTTATCCGGGTTTCTCCATTTTGGGGAACCGGAGTCCACCACACATGTCAATGTTACAGTCCCTCCTAAGCCTACCGTTGTATTCGTTGGACCTTCTGTAATATTTTGAGCACCGCCTATAGGTTTCAGAAAATAA